TTTCGTCCTTTCACTTTCACCCTGACCGCGTCGCTGCGTCTGAAGCGAGTCTCCTGCACACACTGTGCAGCAGGCTCGTTTAGGATCTCTCCCCCTACAACCTCCGTCCCGCCATCGGCAAGTTCACATCACTGACGCTCACTGCAACGACCGGCCCTTCGGACTGAAGTGTCCCTTTATTCACCAGCCGCGCCCTTTGTTTTCATTCCTCGTGCTTCCTCTTTCCTGACTTCTTTTGCGTTGTTTTTCAGTATTTCCTTTTAACCCACCTGTTATGATTTTGACTGTATCATTTGCGCAGCTTTTTCAGAGGTTGCTGAGAGGATTACGAACACGTCCTGATCTCCTCATGCTGCGCTGGGAACCAGTGAGTGCCCCCTGCAACTGGAACCGCAGAAAGCCGCCACCCCGCTCCAGCGGGCTGTCCGCCCTCGCCCCGACGGGCTCTCTGCCCCCCCACGCCCCTGTGCTACCACACACACACAAACCCCTCTTCAGACGCGAGAGGAGCTCTGCTCCCCGAGCAAACCCGCCGTAAAGACCCAGGAAGGGAGCGGGGTCTGCGTGTCTCCCGTCGCTGCTGCTCGCCCCTTGTCCTGATGTCTTGTGTCCCGCCTAATATCACTCCCATCACTGGAAGAGCTCCCTGCAGCAGGTCTGCTGCGAGAAGTGCATGCCTCGTCTTCCTTCACCTGAGAAGTGCTTCCACGTCGCCGTCACTCCTGAAGGACGTCTGCAGAGCGCTCCCGGGCGGCCGCTCCCCACCCCAGCCCCTCAGAGGCGCGGCGCAGCTCCCCAGGAGGCCGCCGGCCTGGATGCCAAGGCCCCTTCTCGGCAGTCTGCCCATGATGTGCCTGCGTGGGGACAGGCCAGGAGGTTTCGAAGCTTCTTGAATCCGTAGGTTTGTGTGTTTGCCAGATTAGGTAAGTTTACAGCCACTATTTCTTCCAACGTGCTTCTGCACAGCCCTCTCCGCCTTCTTTTTCAATTGCAACGTTTCCCTTTGGTGTTCGTCCTTCAGGCACCAGCAGAGCGGAGGAGGGCCTCGGACCCCGGCGGCCGGGTGGCCCCGGGGTGGCGTGTGCCCTCACAGCCTCCCTTTGCTCTTCAGCTAACGTTGCTGAGTCTCCACTTATCGACCTCAGATGACCCCTAGGAAGGCACTATGCGCACATCGACTCACACACAACAGACTGCAAACGAGAAGGATGGACAAGTCCCAGTTCCCCAGATCTCCACGTCCCACGTACCAGGGTCAGCATCCAGACCAGTGTCTGCCTGACGTCAAACTCCATGCTCTTCCAAGCAGCCTCTTTGCAAACACACCGGCACCTGAAGGTTACGTGGGAGTGGAGCCCACCAGCCCTTCCCCACTGCCAGCCCCACAGGCCCCCATGATGCCTGGCCAGGCGGACAGTGGGCGAGGGTCTTGAGCACACCACATGGGGTTCTGCAGCGCTGCCCGCACCCTCTTCCAGCCTACGCAGCCAGGTCTGCTCATGGGGCCACCGTCCCACACTCATGTTCTCCTGCCCAAGCTCACCTTGAGCCTGCACTCAGCACTGCCCACCCTCCCTGGACCAGGCCTGGCTGTGACTAGCTGGGGACACACGTGACTCCTGAGCATGCCATCAGCCGCCCTCACTGGGTAAGGAGTGGAGAGCTGGCTGCCTCTGCACTTGCTCCTGCATGACCAAGCCCGTAGCTGTGACCTGTCGGGGCCACATAGAGGAGGACCCAGCAGGGCTGAGAGCTGCAGGGTGGTGAGGACCCTCTGCTGCAGTGCTCAGTGGGCTCTCAGTGAGAGGGGCTCAGCTTCTCTGGGTGCAAGCTGGGTCTGCTGCAAACAGTGGGCAGCGCGAACGCAGGACGGCAGCTCAGACCGGTGGTCACCAGCAGAGACCAGCTGCCCACACGTGAACTCTGGAGAGGGGACGTCTGTGACTCCTCCTCGGCCACATCCACCCCGGGCTGAGCCCCGGCCTCCTGCCATCTTTGGTGTCTTCTGTCTGAGACAGCAGCAAACCCATGCCATGCGGTGGCTCCCCGACCCACACAGCATTAACAGCTGCTGCAGAGCCTGGAGGCCCCTCAGGGATGCCCGCTCACTGAGGACGTGGATGTGCAGGCCCGTGGGAGGTCACCAAGGGGGCGTCCCAACCCCACGCAGCAGCCAGCGGGGAAGGCAGCAGAAGCTCCAAGGGCGCGAGGTCACCTGGCAGACGAGGAGCTGCGACAGGGACGCACTTCCAGCTGCGCATGCTCCGCTGTCTCAGAAAACCCAGCTGTCTCGGCTGCTGCAAGTCCCCTGCCCCACAACACAGCCTGTCGGCCCCTGTTGGCTCCTGGCACCTATGCCCCAGGGGTCCCACGCCATCAGCTGGGCTCTGCTTCCCATTTCCCTGCTGGGCCCCGGGCCTGTGGGGACTGTGGGGGCAGCCCTGGTGAGAACCCCACTGAGCAAGGCCCCGTGCCGCTGGGGGACCCCCAGTGGGCGGGATCTGAGGAGCCCCCTGGGGCCAGGCCGCCCCAGGCAGTGCCTCACGTGTTGCACACGGCCATCGTCTGGCACGCCTCTCCCGTGCAGAATTCTGAGATGGTGCTGTACTGGAGGTTGACGTGGTGGAAGAACGTCGTGGCTGGAAGGCAGAGAGAAAGGCCAGGTATGAAAACCACATGGCGGCATCATCTGCGTACCCAGTGCCCTGCAGACCAGGAGGCCCAGCGCCTCTTTCCTCGGACCCTGGGGGCTGGTGCTGATCACAGACCAGAGACAAAATCCCCACTGTGGCACTGCCCTTGGGAGCTGGAGGCCAGCTGCTGCCATGCTGGCGGGCACGGGCCTAGACGGGGTGCCCGTGGCTGTGGAGACTGAGTAGCCCCCGAGGGGCAGGGCAGAAGACACCCCAGCCCAGTCCCGTGAACCCCCACCCCTGCTCACAGGCACTGGGGGACCAGGGATGCCCACCTCGACATCCACGAGAGAGGGCAGCTATGCCGGCTCACGGCCACCGACTACCGCCCTCTGGAGGAGAGACAGGTCCTCACCCTCCACGTGTCGTCCTGAGAGCCCTGAGCCCGCCCAGCGGGTAGGGGTGAGATCCACCTCCCACTTCAGGCCTCAACCCTCCTTCAGCTATAGCACTGCCGGCGTCGCAGCCACACTCCCGTCACACAGTCTCTCCTTGGCACTGGCGGCCCATCCCCCAGGGCAGCCAGGACCTGAACTGAGTCCCTGCATCTGTGGGGACCCCCGGTGCCTTTTAGGGCTGGCCACGTCATGCCGACTGGTGTGAGTGGGCGGGGGAGGCAATGAGCACCAGCCCCGGGGAGTCCCTGGGGAGACAGAGGCCGGCTGTCCTCACTGCCACCCCCTGCAGCCGCCCCACGCACTGTTGCTGGCCAGCCACTCGTTGAGGTCGATCTCCCGGGGCAGCACCACCAGCTCCTTGAACCCGAAGTCGGTGATCCTGGACTTGGTGTACTCTGGCTCCAGGTACACCTTCTTCTCCTCGGCGGCGGGCTTCTTCCCGTTGGGCTTGGCTTTAGACTTCCTGCGGAGAGAAGGGGCACAGGGTCACTGCGAATGCAGGCACGGGAGCTGCGGGCTGGGACCTGGGAGATGAGGAGTGCCAGGGGGATGGCCGGGGGTCCCGCGGCCGTGGGAGGAAGCTGCCTGACCTGAACCCTCTCCGGCAGTAAGGGGCCTGAACGTGGAACCCGGGGCCGGCAGGGAGCTCTGGGCAGCGGAAGGGTGGGGTGCTGGCCACACTGGCCGGCATGGCCCTGTGATCATCTTGGCCCCCACCTGGGGCCAGGACTCGGGGCTGGCATCACTCACCCAGGCCCCGAACCTCTGAGCAGAATCCCCCAGGGGCATCCTTCCGCACAGTTGGCCCGACAGCCCACCCCTGCCAAGAACCTGCTGTAGGCTGATGCCCCAGGGATCCCCATCCCAGGCCTCCGTCGTCAGTGGGTTGGTGGCCTGCCCTGCTCACCTGGGCTCTGTCCCAGGTACACGTGCGGGTTGCAGGTGGGCACAGAGGGGGCACAAGCAGACGTTACAGAGATTTGATGAAATGGCCACTTCTCACTAAAATTTTTTCTTGGTTAAGAAAATCGTTCTTTTCCATCAAAAATGCTGTTACATAACAGAATGGACTCGTTAAGGCTATTCTTACAGGCGTGAATACATGTTTCTGAAATGTCTTTGTTTGCCTTCAAGCATAGTCAATGTCAGCAGCTAAACCCCACAAACCAAAGCTCTCTGGTGCCGAGGGGGGCTCATCCCCTTCTCAGGGGGGCGACCGCGGCCCCAGAACCAGCCTGTCACCAGCTGCCCCCAAGGCCAGAGCCGGGGCTGCGGTGTGTGCGGCCCAGGCAGGCCAGTGAGATGGCCCGGGCCCTAAGGAGGAGAACCGCCCAATGGAGAGCAGCCCAGAGCCCGTCTGGGACGCCAGCCCAGGCGGGCCAGGTCTGACACAAATCACCGTGTCTGTCACACGCTGGAGATGACCTGGGCACGGGAGCGACGTGCCTGGAGCAGCGCAGCCCCGAGGGCCCAGGCCCCAGCGCCAAGGCCCAGTGCCCAGGGGCAGGACTGGGGCTCCTGCCAGCCTCCCCCCCGTTGGGGACCACTGAGGAGCAAAGCTGTGGTCACCCCGCACCTGCAGGGACCCACAACATTCTCAGGTCCAGGACTGAGCTCTCGGCCAGGGGGGGCCTGAAAAGCTAAAGGAAAAAGTGCCTAACGGCACGGAGGCCCTCCCGGTTCTCTTCCTTGATGCCTGAACTCTTCAACGGCAGACATCGGGACGTGCAGAAAACAAGCTGCACGTCAGCCCTGTCAGGAGC